GGGAGGGCTCACGGCTGGGAAGGGCGCCCGAAAGCCGCGACTCTCAGGTGCCAACCTCCCCTGGCGCGCAGGCAGGTTTGCGTTGAAGCGCAACTAAAAGCGGCCGAGGAAGCGTTGCCCCACGGTTCACAAAGCCCAGCTCCTGACTTACTCAGGCCCTTTGTCTTGCGAGCGGAGGCGCGGAACGACCCGGCGCTGAGGTGGCTCAGCTGAGAGGCTTTAGCCCAACGCCTGCCGCTCGGCTTTGGCAAGCAGCAGGCTGGGAGGCTCGTTGCTCTCCTGATCATCGGTACGGTCTCGCAGCGCGGGAAAGACAGAGACAAAGCATTCATTGCCCCGTGCAGGAGCGTCCCCGCGTGCGTTCGCGTGTGCTGCGAGCAGAGTCGGGCACGTACATGCTCTCTGTTTTCATCCCGAGCTGCGCTGGGCTCCCTGGATAGGAAAGCAAAGGTGATTTGGTGTCGGTGGTCGCTAGGTAGAGCTGGAGATGAGCGCGACGTACAAATTTCTTTCTGCAAGGCGAATGTATGAACTCTCTCTGGGGCTCGCACGGGAGGAGCGGAGTCCGGAGTGCCGTGCCGCTCTTAAACACGGCTGAACGCTGGGGGCAATTGGTCTGGCTGCTCTTAACAGCACATGCTGGCCCATAAACGCTTGAATCTCTGGGGCCCTCAGATACTTCAGTCGGCCCAGGCGACCCAGAGCGTTAGCTCGGGTCAGGCAGCGTTTCTGACGAAGGACGCTTTCCCGCCAAGCGTTTGCCGTAATGCAGCGCGGCTCTGACGCACCCCTCGGCACCGTTTCTCTTCCAGGCGCTGTCCGGACCTCACTATTACACCTGGGGCGACCACGGCGGCATTCTGGTGGCCATCGCGCAAGGCACCGAGACCGACCAGCTCAAGTGAGGGGCAGGGCAGGGGCATTGCCTCTGGGACTCGGGCTGGGGCCGGGAGAGAGCCCCGCGGGACCCCCCCCAGCAGCTCTCCCAATCCTCTTTCTCCAGGTACAGCACAAACGAAGGGGAAACCTGGAAAACGTTCACTTTCTCCGAGAAGCCGGTGTTTGTGTACGGCCTGCTTACCGAGCCCGGCGAGAAAAGCACCATATTCACCATCTTCGGCTCCTACAAAGAGAATGGCCACAGCTGGCTGATACTGCAGATCAACACCACTGACGTGCTGGGTAAGGGGACGGGCGACAGAGCCACCGCTGACGCTGGCTGGGGCGGGGGGAGAGCTGTCCTGTCGCCGAACCGCAGCTTTGCGGGTCACGCACGCTAATCAGCCCTCGCCGGCAACCGGCCGGTCCCCCCCGCTGCAGAGCCTGCCCCGAGCAGCCCTGCGGGTGCCGGTGGGATCTTGCCGTACCATCTCCGGGGGGCTGGGAGCGAGGAAGGGGCACGGGAGAGTTTTTTGGAAGCCCAGAACAACCTGGAGACCTCGGGCTATGTACCAAACTATTGAGTCATCTAAAACTCTCACAGTCCCACTGACGAGCGCGACAAGTTGGGTGCCTAAATACAAATCGAGCACAGAGCCAGCCTCGGTTGCTCTCGCCCTCCATCCTGTTTTCCAAGACAAAGAGACCCCGGAGAGATGCCCTCAGGTCCTCTTAGCAGCAGAGCCCGTTGCCCTGGCTGTCCCACGGGAGCGAGGGGGGAGAGGGCATCTCCTGGGGCGCTGCGGTACCAAAGTCCGTGTTCGGGTGCCCCGTCCCTCGCCTCTCACGTCCGCATGGACGCGGCTGCTGAAGGCGCTCCCGTCCCCTGCGCGTTCCCCGTATCCCCTCCCTCCTGTTGAGAAGGAAAGCGGAAAAAAAAAAATCCTTGTGAAGGCTTGTGCCTATGAATGTTTTATAACCCATTTCAGCTTTGATTGCAAGGCAGCCTTTTAATCAAAGAGCAGTTAAACCCAGCAGAGGAATTTGCTTGACTAAAATTTCTAACCGATTCCCTTGACGTTTTGTGAGAAACAGATCTGTTTGGTAACCAGAACGACTTCATGTAAATGAGGCGTCGCAAATTCACTGTCACCGCGACGGCGCTGCTTGTTGCCTCCTGTCACCGAGTGCCGCCGCACGCTCTGAGCTGGAAGGCTGTCTGCTTTGCCGTTTTTTTCAGGCCTGGGCTAAAGCCTGGCCATCAGGGGAAAGCACTCGTTCCGTGCCAGGGGAGGGCGGCGAGAGAGAAGGGGCGGCGGGCATTATCGTGGTGCACGGCTGGGTGCCAGCGCGCCCGCCCTCCCTCCGAGCATCCCGGGTCTCGATGCTCCGAGAGCAAGGCTCTCTGCGTCCCTCGGGTCCCCGGCATGCGGCACGGGACGGGATACTGTGCTTTGCACGTTGTCGCTGGGCACGCGTCGGCAGCGGTGACCGAGAGACTTTTGCAGCTCTCTGGATTTTAGGCCTCTGCTCTGGGGTGCCGCAAGGACCGTGCCTTTCTTTACCCCAACCTCGTTGCTTCTCTTAGGCGTCCCTTGCACAGAGAACGACTACAAACTGTGGTCACCCTCCGACGAGCGAGGCAATGAATGCTTACTGGGGCATAAAAGCGTTTTCAAAAGGAGGACTCCTCACGCGACCTGTTTCAACGGGGAAGATTTTGACAGGCCTGTCATGGTCTCCAACTGCTCTTGTACAAGGGAAGACTTTGAATGGTAAATACCAATTACTTTCTTTTAGTCTGGGTTGTAATTCAGAGCTAAATCCGTGACCAGTCGCTCAAAGCCAACAAACGTCCAATGTACTTAGCCCTTTATAGCACTGCTTGATGTTACAGCACAGAGGAAACTACATAGACTGAAAATGTGCTGTCATTAATAAGGGGGCACGAGACTTCATTGATGCCTTCGGAGGCTTTCGGGAGCCTCCGAAGGGTTCTATAGAGGAGGAAAGTACTGTTCATCCATCACCTTCTTCCAAATGACGGTGGACCGTTTCCCATCACGTACGGGCATCCTCCACTAAAATGGTTAGTGACCCTTTAGCTACAGGGACGCAACCCCCCTGCCGTATCATTTTATCTGAAACGTGCGCGTTGCCGACATGGTACAGCTCTTGGGATTGGGAAACGCTCTGGCACTCAGACGCAAAGGTGTGGGGTTAAGAAGTGAACTGCTTGTCAGGGACTGGACTTTCCGCAGAGCTCGCGGCCGGGCTGCTCGAGTGCCCGGCGCACGCAGTTAAGGACGCGGGTCCAGACCTGCCCGTCCGGTCCCGAGACCGAGACCGAGTCTAGCTCGTTGTGAGCAGACTGAGGGTAGGGCTGGCAGGATCCGATTCCTGCCTCCGAATCGCAGCCCTGGGCTCCCTGCAAAGTCAGACCGACATAACCTCTTCCGCCAGCGTTTCCCAACGAACAGACGCGCTGTAACTCCCCCCCAAAAGAGCCAAGAGACAGACCTGTGGCCTGAGCCAGCTGCCAGGAAAACTGGGGCTTGCGGCCAGATTTTCGGGACGCCCTGGCTCAGCCGTGCCTTGCTGCCTAACCCACCCTGGTCTGCTCGGCCACCGGCAGGCTTATGCGCAGAATGTTCCTGAAACATCCGGGAGACAGAAGCTGTCTGGCTATTAAGCTATTACTATGCAGCTAGATACTGCTAATAAATGAATGGACTTCTGAGATACTTTGGGTTCTTACCACTTCTATGCAAAACATAGAGCAGAGTAAGAGTATAGCGTGGCTGCGTGTTTTCCTTCTCCCCCATCCTTCCTTACGTCTTTCTTCTCCTTGCAGCGATTTTGGCTTTAAACTGAGCGACGACTTATCGTTAGAAGTTTGCGTCCCTGACCCCGAATTCGCCGGGAGACCGTACGACCCGCCGGTCCCTTGCCCCGTGGGCTCCACTTACAGGAAGACTCGAGGGTATGTGCTGTACTCGGGAGGGGAACCCGGTCCTTCGAATGCCGGGATTTGTGTTATTGGTGATAAAAAAAAACCACCGCCACCTGCAAAAACCACACGCTAATGCCCGTTGAGTGGCAGTCAACGAATTGCACGTTTGGGCATACGTTGCGGCTCAGCACCGCGGCTTATTCTAGCTGCCCGTGGTGGCGTGTTAGCAGTTTGCATCAAATAAGCTGCCTGGCTGGATATGTTGCAGCTACCGGAAGATCTCTGGGGACACTTGTACAGGTGGAGACATCGAGTCGCGGCTCGAAGGGGAGCTGGTACCGTGCCCGCTCGCTGGTGAGTACGTACAGGATTGCTTCGCGCACAAGGGCTGCATTCGGAAAACCTTGGGCTGGTGCCCGAGGGACCACGCGCAAATTCCCAGAGGGCTCTCGGACAAAACCGACGACGCGGGAGCTGAAATGCCTCGGTCCGTTCCAAGTCCATCGTCTGTCCCGGCCAGGGCGCGGGGAGCTTCCGAGGGATCCGCTCGGGAGCAGCTCCAGCCTGCGGAGCAGAGCCCTCTCTGCTCCTGAGGTCGCCCGAGGCTGAAGCCCTCAGAGCAGGCTGCGGGCAGGAACCCTCTTATCTCCATTGCATCCTCACCCTAGCGGGCTCGGACAGGAATTAGATCAGGGATGCTCCCCAGTCCTGGGGAAACCCTTGGGAAGGTACCGCCCTGAGACAGGCCACTGCACGCGGTTGAATGACGGCTATTTAGGGCCAGACCAGGGAAGATGCTGCCCTTCGGTCCTCGTGCCCGTGCCCACCAGGCTTTGCCTCCGTCCTTATTTTCTCCTCTCAAACGCGCGAGGCACCGAAACGGTCTCGCGCCCCCGCGCTGGCAAAGTGATTTGCATTCTGCTCATTACAGCTTTAATTTCATCTGCCGTCATGGGCTGCGTGATTAGCGTGCTGCCGCACAGCAGCTCGAGAGCGAGCCTGAGACGGGGAAAAGGCTCGCGTGAGGGATGGGGCGGCCGAGCCGGCGCAGCGGGCAGGGCGAGCCCGGGGCCGTGGCTGAGCAGAGCCACAGGGCTGCGGAGCAGCCAGCCCTGCCAGCGTGAAGGCTTCCCCGCACCGTCCTAAGATTTGTCAGCGCGCGAAAGATATCCCGGGTGCTAAACGGCCCGGCGGGTGCCTGGGGAAGCGTTCCCTCTGCTGGGATTCACGCCAATGCCATGCTTAGATTTCCTCCTCGTTCAGAAGCGACACGTTACTCACCCCTCCGAGCCCTCCTGAGCTATTTGGAGGGCTGCGTTAGTCGTGCTGAGAAGGGCCCTGCAGACTGAAAAATAAACCTGCGGTCCCTACGGGGCTGGGCTTTGAAGTGCCGTGTTCCCAGCGTATTTGCTGATCGTCTCCGGATACGTGTTGGCTCGCGCCATGGTAACGCTTTCGTGTACGGTATCTGTTTCGTATCTCCGTATGATCTCATTAGGGATGCACAGCCAGAGTTACTTACTGACATTAGCTTTACTCAGAAATAGCATTATTGGACTTGACCTGTAGCGTACTAATGCCCGGGAGACTTTGTCCCGGTCCAGGATCCCATTACACCGGATTCGGCGCAAATTAGAAACAAAACCCGCTCTGGGATGTTTACTGCGCTGCCGGCGTCCCCTAGGGCTCGCAGATTTACATCGCTCCCGCCTTTGTCATGAGCTTTTTGAGGAACGGGAGATCGGTCTCTTGTTTCTCATTTGTGCCACGCTAACGTGGGAAGCAAGGGGTCACGATGGCTTTGGCCGTCCTTACCTCCTCCTTCAGGCCCTGGAACAAACAACGGCCGCAGCGTGTTCCCGAGCACGAGTGCGCTCGGGACCCGCGTAAGGCTATTACCGCGTTCCCGTTACCCTAACCCCGCCGAGTCAAAGGGCCTTTGCCTCCCTCACTCCGAGGTCCTAAAATGTCTGCTCGGGGGTAAGAACAAAATACCTGGCGTTTTCTTTTTGCGCCCTGAGTAGCCCGAAACGGCCAGAGGCGTCTAAACAAGGCGCTCCCTGTTCCTGCAGAGGAGAACGAGTTCATTCTCTATGCCACCCCCTACTCCATCCACCGCTACGACCTCGCCTCCGGCGTCAGCGAGGAGCTGCCCCTGGCCGGGCTGCGAGGGGCGGGCGCCCCTGGCTTCTACT